GAATAGAGTCAAACTCCCTAAGATAAGAGTTTCCAAAAAGCAGATGACATCGTCTTCTGCCCCCACGCGGCCTGGAAAGGATGGAGCAAGGCTCTATGGTGGCGGGAGGAGAAAAGGCGACCAGACAGGAGTAACAACTCACCCCGCTGTAACTCGTGCATCATTTGCTGCATGCACTAACAGTATCTAACAGTATCAACGGTAGTTGAACATTTGCTTGGCGGCCGTCAGTAGCCAGCCTGCACGCACGTTGAAACACAAGGACGAACTTCGCACAGGCAATTTTGCGTTATTAATGCTGGCATTCTAAAATGCGTTAAGGAATAACCGGAATTCACGGCGTGAGAGAGGAAATGGGCGAGGAAGAATTACTGTACAGCTTGCAGTTGCCAGGTCGAACAATGTTAAATGCAGGATGCTGGCGGCTAGACTGCGTTGCTGAGAGTCACCTGCGCATACTGACCCCGCAGAAATCTGTGTAGGTCCTCCTCTGCTTCACAGCAGCGAGTCAAAGCGTGAGATTGGGCAGCGCAGCTCCGAAGTGGACCTCCCAACACAAGCAGAGATATGAGCAACTTCCTCCTCGTGACAGAACAATTGAAGCTTAATCATGGAAGGTTTCATTTGCTACCTCATTCTCTTTTGTGACATGTTGGGTCAGGGCCGCACACTTTGGGGCCCAGTAACTGCTCACGCGTTCACGGCAGTTGCGTAGTGACACCGGATCAGTGCATATTCATAACTAGGTTGGGATGCCAGCTTCAAAAGGCGGCTTCCAACCGAACTATGCTGCCAGGAGTGCGGCAGATTATTTGCGGAAAAGCCACTGAGACACTTCGCCACGACTATCAACACCGTGGGAGCAACAGCACATCACAGCTGCAATCCTTGTGTTGATTGTACCTTTCCCTTTTCAGGTTTCGTCATCTTCCATTACTACGCTTGACGGGGCCCGCGAAGGCGTGCGCCATCTGAGGGGTGGCGGGGAGGAAGGTGTAACATGGCGGGTGTGGAGTTGGTTTGTTTATCTCTACTTGCGTGGAGGCTGGATATAGTTGCCCGTGTAAGTGTTAAACAATTGTCTNGTTGGTTTGTTTATCTCTACTTGCGTGGAGGCTGGATATAGTTGCCCGTGTAAGTGTTAAACAATTGTCTATAGCCTTCTTGCATGCAGCAAATGGGGGTTTGCCTGTGCGTCCACACTGGGCTGCCGTGCAGCACTACTTGCAGCGATGTTTGCTGCAACTCATGCGAGGCTTCCGCCTCTGCCCAGGGCCAAGGTCCTTGCGTGACAGGAGTCAGGCTGCCTGGGGACTGGAGAGGTGGAATTCGGCTTTTTGGAAATTTTCCTCTTAGTTATTTCGCCTCTACTGCGACACGCGATGGTCTTCGAACAAGATCGAAGACTATCGTTACGCATGTTGTGTGCACAGTTGGTACACCTCCTTCTACCTGCTTACAGGCTGCCTACTGATGGCAAAATGAGTGTTCAACAGCTTTCTGCAACATTAGTGCGTGAAACACTAAAGGGAAGGATTGGCTGTGTTTAAGGCGCGTGCTTACCTTGCAGTAGCACTAGTTGTAGGGGGGCCAATTGCAGCTTGCCTCCCCTCGCACCATCCTCCGGCCCTTATGCCGGTGTGACGAGTACGCCTGTAGACTGGAGGAGACGTCAGTTGATTTTTTGGGGACTACCAATCGATTTATTTCACCCTACTGCTCTGCGAGTCCATCGGACAAGATAGACGGCTCTAGTCACCNACTACCAATCGATTTATTTCACCCTACTGCTCTGCGAGTCCATCGGACAAGATAGACGGCTCTAGTCACCATCAATCCCTATTTCGCACCGTTGTGAAGTTAAATAACCCAAGGTTTATTTCTGTGCGACAGGATAAAGCGCTCTGCGTGTTCCACATACTGGATGCGTCGCTGTTGGTTTGTTGGGATCACTTGCCACAATAACGATGTGACTGCGCAACGGTGCGTACAATGGCTTGAATCGGGAATTTGCTCGACTTAGCATAAAACCTAGGAGATTTTAATGGATGAAGTTTTAAGCATTCATTCCCTGAGATTATTGGTATTCATCGGTCCGCGCGCCACGCGGAGGCGAAGTGCTGTGCTGCGACCGGCGGGGGACCGGCGCGCTTGCCCGGGTGGGATCTTGATTCGCTCAGGGCAAAGAAGTTCACAGTTTTTTTTTCAATTTGTAAAACATTGCCGAACCTAGTTGAGGTAGGTACTGGCAGATTGGGGCGCCAGCACATCCGTGAAGGGATCCTATCCCGAGCATCGATCACCTGCCAGCACTCTCATACTACACACTCCCTTCATGCTGATATGCAAAGTTTGTGAGGCTTTCTTGTTTAGCTAACGTCGGATGAGGATCAGAGAGGGTAGTAATTCTCCAGTTTGGGCGGATGTTATGCGTCCAGAACGGTGCCCGCCGGCGTGCCCCTGCGACGCAGACTAATGATGTTTGGATGCCGAACTCCAGTGGTTTTGGAAACGATCCCAGGTGTCGAGGGTTGGTCTGCAATCGAAAGTATTTCTGTGCTGTAAACGACCATATTTTCAGTTTCTAGCATTTCATCATCCGGACATCATGGAGAGTAGGCCCGATGCAAGGCGAAATGGAGCCCAACACATTGGCACAACTGCAAACTGATGACACTTACTTTTTTCCTGTATATCTTCGTCTGTTCCGAAAATGATGGATTCGGACATGAGTTCACTGCCCAAACTCCCGTCCATGCTGGCCCAGGGTAGCGTAGAGCCTTTGAAGTTCTTTATGGGAAATTTGAGAGCAACGAAACCGCCCAGTATCAACGACTCTCAGCCAAATATTCAGCGAACATATGGTACATCGTCAGCACGATATATGAAGAGCGCGAAGGCTTCCTTGGCTTCATTGTGGCCCACTGTCGCCTTCCTTGTATGCGTTTCCTTGCTATTATTTTCACTTTGCGGCGGTGTTCGAAGGGTCTATAGCGGTGCGACGGTGCGGAAACTTGCAGATGGCGGCAGCGGTGAAGGATCAGGTTCCGGGGGAAACCCGTTTTTTGTTGAAGGCGACTGGATTGCTCTCGATGCGGATGAGCTCGCGTCGCTGTGCAGTGCATTGGGGGAGTGGGCGCCTTCGTCTGCCCCTCAGAGCGCTTCAACCCCTCCGCTTCGTATGCCAGAGGTAGCTTCAACGTCGAGGGAACATACGGGCGAACACAGTTTGCAGACTATCAGGACGCCAGGAGATTTGTCTGGGGCGTCGTCAAGTGAGCAGCAGCACCAAGCGGTCGGATCGACGCAGCGTCGACGCAGACTTTTTCCACAGGGAGATTCGGATGGATGGGAGCCGAGTCCTAAGAAGTCCGGTTGGCTTACGCATGATAGCTCGGTAGTGGCAGGTGCCGAAGGTCCGAGAAGTGCTGTGCATCCACTCCCCGAGGCTGGTCAGCAAACACCAGGCACCCCTTCTGTGGGTTTGAATCGTATAGGTTTTCCAGCCGTATTTGTTCACCAGCAAGGGCTAGCAGCTTCGACGGCATATACCAAGGGTTCAGAGCAAATGCAACCGGTGGAACGGCCAGTATTACTGCGGTCCACAACTATCTCTCCAGATGCCCCCTCTGCTACGCCTGTGGGAAGCAGCCTTCCTGCCGAAGTCTCCGGAGACTCCAAACAAGCTTCGGTTTCCCATAGAGTATCGGTGCCTGCGACCCAAAGTGGTTCATTGGCCTCAGCGGGACCTTCGCCAAAACGCTCGAACGAGGCGTCACTGCAACTAGCAGCTCCTCAGGAGTTATCCGTGTCAGAAGTGTCCAACGCCTTAGGTACTAAGCACCCTTTTGTTCGGACGCCCACTCTACTGCCATGTGTGGCAATCTCAGACATAGAAGAGGACGTTCCGGAATGTTGGATATCAGGAGAACCCGTAGTTTTCCTATTTAGGAAGGCCAGAATTTTGTCTCTAAAGCCGGCCCTCGACCTTGCTGAAGCAAATGAACTTGTCCGGCTCGCTGTCAGCTTAGCGCAGCGAGCTTTGTCATCTATGACTACCCCGATGTCCGACCAAAGAGCATCTGTGGCTGCAGAATCTTTAGGACGCCGTTTTTTGGTTTTCGACTTATTTCGTAAAGTTTTGAAGCTTACGCAAAACGCCAAACCGGGTTTGATGAGGCTGTGGCAAAATCTTGTTGCGGAAATTCCAACGGATTATGAGCGCGCTGGTTGGGGTATGTACCTTGACAAGCATAGGTTCCAGCATCAGCTGGCAAATCAGCTAAGCGCAGCACTGGAATTGTACAAGAGTGGATCTGAGCCTTCGGAGACCGAAGTACTCGATATCAAACGCAAGTTGTTTTGCATGGCATTCTCTCCTCGCCAGTTCCTTGGAGATGCTTGGCATCCGTGGAGAGAGGATGATGAGCAATTTAAATGAGCTTCGTAACGTTCTCCAGCCCCGATTTCCTGGCTCAACCAAGGAGGGGCAATGATTGAGCTTAGTGGGATGCATGTGGCAGACTTTCCTACCGGACCTCGGCGCGTGTCGAAGACGCATCCACACCTCCATGATTGAGTGGACCTTCAGCGAAACGACAAAAAAGCTTCCGATATACATTTCTTGAATGTTTTGGTGGACTTACATGTACCNACCTTCAGCGAAACGACAAAAAAGCTTCCGATATACATTTCTTGAATGTTTTGGTGGACTTACATGTACCGGATGTATTTGAACTGCATCTATGTGGTGTGCGAATCTTAACTGCTCGATGTTGTCTAGGAGAGTCAGATGTGCATACATGGAATCTGGGTTTGATCTCCACGATCAAACGCTGAGCGGGTGGATACCCTGAGCCTTCAGGCAATGGATCGAAAGGCTGACTGGCACTGGTGTCCCTTCGAGTGTCCATACGCTCACTGCTGTATGCTGTTTTTGTACGCGTCGTTGCCTGGGCATTCTGCACCCTTGCTGCTGCGCTTGCAAATGCGTAGCCTGTTCGCCCCGCCACAGCGAGATTTTTATGAACTGCACGGTGACTGTGGCCTGCAACGTTGACATATACGCATGGTTCTGGATGCGACGAGGCATTCTGGGCTTCAACACGCTCTTGCGTGGGCAAGGCTGGCTGTCAAACTTCGGAGAAACTTTGACGCTTGACATTGCAAGGTGTTCGTTTTTTGCCCATTGCAGAGGGCTTCTGGTTGCTGCAGATTCTGCAGTGGCGTGTGCCACGACCCCACGTTGCCAGCCAGCAAGAGAGATGAACGACCTGTCGGATGGGGCTGTCTCACTCCTGCCTGTTGCCGTTTCCCAACTGAAAAAGCTGTGCGGAGAAGCAGCAGAAGCGACAGAAGCGGATTGCTGCAAAGCCTCCGCGGAGCAACAGCAGAAGATACAGAGGCGACTCGCTGCGTGGAAGCCGGCAATTCCTTCACACTCTGTAGCATCTGGGTCTCTTCGCGTGGGAGATATCACTCGCTGGTTCCTGCCGCTGTAGTGGTTGGCACACCGGCAACTGCTCAAATTTAGGGACACCAGACTCACTAACAGAGAGATCTATGGCGAACCCAGGAAGAGGTGAGGCAGTGGGCTGAGCGTGCAGCCACTTCTCGGCAGAGTTTTGCGCATAGGCGTAAGGATTAAGAACATCGTGCTGCATGGTAGGCCCTCCTGGGCCAGGTGTCCCGTGCACTGCGGCATTACAGGGGTCTGGGCGGCTGGTACGTGAGGCTCTTCGACAGAAGCAGTGCAAAGTAGACCGTTCCTTGTGGGTGCTTTTGGCGGCTTGCACAGTTGAAGCCTTCTCCCGCCGTTCGCTGCTGCTGAGAAGAGCATTTTATCTGGTTTGTGCGCCGTCAACTACAAACGAAACGACGCGACTGAGAGCCAGCACGACGGGGGGCTGTGTTCGCGTGACCTTAATGCGGATATCCCTGCCCTCCATAGCAAGTTGCTGAGCTACGTATTGATCAGCTCGTCGCGCCATTGCTGTGCATACATATGCGACGCTGGTAAAAGATAAGGTGGCTGAACAACAAGGCGAAATGGCAGAAGGGCTCTAAACGTTACATTGCCAAGCGCAGCAGGAGTACACACCAGGAGTTGCTTGAACAGCAAAGCCAGCAGCAGGCTCTGTTCACTTTGGTGTGGCGCAGGATCGCCTGGCATATAAACTAGACTAAATTACTCTATGCGAACCTCATCTGGGCCTAATTGCTGCGCTTACGGCGTGGCAGATCCAGCATTTTACACGTTGTGACTACCAATGTTACGCATGTGCGGCCGACGGCTATTCTGCATGGTGCACACCGAACTAACAGGAACAGCTAAAAAAAAAGTAGCTATTTAGATACCTAAATAAAGACTATTGGTGCGCGAGATGACAAATCAACGTATAGTTGATTGTTGCATTAATCTCTCGCTTGCAGGGCAATCACGCAGTTTCGGCCGTCACAGCATGGCGCACCCAGATGACTTCTGCATCAACGCCTCCCGAGGCGTCGTCTGGCAACTGGAGGCGAGCTTCGCCACTTGGTGGAAGGGAGGAGGCGAAAGAATGCAGAAGAGAGAAAACAAAAGCGGTGCGGTTATAGGAGCACAATGGAGGAAATCTCAGCTACGTCCGTGCATTGTGATGGTGATATTGCCTATACAAGCTGTCAGTGCATTGTGGTGGTTGCGTTGAGTTGGAGGCCCTGCAGCAGCGACGATGGGATGGTAGGGCGCATCTGCACTTGTGTGCAGATTGGCAACGAAAGCCGACGACGTGAGCAACAACTGAATTCGGTGTCGGCGTGCGTATCGTAAGGGCGTTGGTTGTATTGCGGCGCCCTTTTGAGCAGGAACCGGCGGGCTCTTCTTATCTGGCCAAGTGCAGGAGGATAAACCAGCACTAAATGGGAACCCTGTCCTGGAATGTGAAAGAGCATGCCAAGCAAGCAAAACATTTTAAGAGAACACTTACATGAAAACGAAAGCTTACAGGCAAACAGGACGTCATACAAAGGTTGTGGGCAGTGCCAAACTCTTTCAGTCGCCGCCGCTGTGCCAACAAAAACACGCACGGACGTCTGTGGATAGCTAAGCTCACAAAGTCCTCGGGAGCGCAGTCGGGCTGCAGTTCCCTTGACCACTTCCAATAGTGTCCTGGTTTGTGTTACCCAACTCATCACCTGTTTTTTCATGAGTTCATCGTTCGTTGGTTGGTTTGTATCGCAGTAGGCAGCATCGTTTGCCTTATTTTCGTGCCTCGCATTCCTGCGTTTCCTTCGTGCATTCACCCTATGCTGCAAACTATATATGAAAGCTCTCCACTTCGGAAGGACAGGGCTGGTTGCCAACAGCCAAGCTTAGCTAGCAGTGGGTCAGCCAACGGTGTTCGGCTGTCAACAAGAAGAGTAAAGGCCCATCAATTCGCGAAGGGCAACGTTATAATCCCATCCTACCCAAAAACGCCACCGAGTAGCTGGTGGT